ACATGGATACTCATGTATCCTTGTGATGTGGTGTCTGTTACTCTTTCTCTTCCCTAGGAATTCAGCACACTGGAGAGAGAGCCACTGCCCCAAGGAGAGGGCAGGTAAGAGACTGTGGGCTTTGGGCTATGGAAGAGGCACCTCTTTCCTCAGCCTCCAGAGACCAGGGGCAGCATAGGAAGGAGAGCCACCAGGAGATGACCAGCCTTGCTAGGTCCCAAGACAATCTGTGTGAGGGAGTCCTTGTTGATCCAACATGGGAGTCCAAAACATTTCACTGCTGTAAGCTCATCAAAGTATATGACCTTCCCAAAGGTCGGCACTGTCGTCATTTACCTTGTGCAAGTAAGTGGCTCATTCAGGTGACCTGCCACCTGTCTCTTGTATGACCCTGGAGAGTCTCCTCACCCTCCCTATGTGTCCTTAAAGTGAGGCTGTGTTCTAATAACACCTACCTCAGAGGGCTTACACAAAGATTAAGTAAAGCAGGGTGTTGCTTTTCTTTAGCCAGCTGCCTTAGTTATTTGCTTAAAGCAAAACAAAGCATAATGAATGTATCTCCAAATTCTCTGTCTCCGTCTCTCCATCTCTGTCCGTCTGTCTCTCTGTGTATGTTCTCTCTCCCTCCCCCTCCCTCTCCCCTCCCCCTCCCTCTCCCCTTCTCCCACTCCCACTCCCTCTCGCTCTCCCTCTCCCTCTCTGCATGTGTGTATGTGGTGCTAGGATGGAATCCGTGCCCTTGCACAAGTGCTCCATCACTGACCTTCACCCTTTGTCTCCAAATTCCCCCAAATTTTGAATAATATTTGGTTCACATGTAATGGAAAAGCACTGAAGAAAGATTAGAAAAAAATTACCCATCATTCCACTTTCTGAAGATAGCCATTATTGACACACTCATCTACCACCTTCCAATTGCTTTTTGTTCACACACAGGCACACTTACACATTCACAAAGTTGGTTCATACACATTATTTTTAGCCTGCTTTTGTTCCTTACTGAATCATAATTAGCATATTTTCTTGCTCATAAATGTTGTCCATGAATATAGGAACTAAGGCCATTGTACAGAGGCAATATATTTTTAGATCTTCTATTTTTAGAATTTTAAAGTTTCTTTTCTTTGCTCTGATAGGTAGTTCTCAGATGACTCACCATCTTTAAGGAGAAACTTCCTGATCAAAATCAAAAGCATTTTAATGTCTCTTCATATGAATTGCCAAATTGCCTTTCGGAGAAGAAGCTCTACCAGTTTAACCCCTCATTGGTGGGGAGATAACATGCCTGTTTCATCGAATTATTGCTAAAAGTAGGCTTTTAATTTCCTTTTAACCTTTGTATAATTGGCCAGCAATAAATAAATTACATTGTTATTTTGTTTCTTATGGCTGAAAATAAAATTCTTATAATTATTAGTCATATTCGTGATCCTTAAAAGTTTATTTATTTTTAATTTAATTTTTTTGCAGTACTGAGGACTGAACTCAGGACCCTGCGCTTACCAGGCAGGACTTATTCTACTGAGCTATCTCCTTGGGCCTCTTATAAAGACATTTTGCTTATTATCATAGAAATTCAATAATTAGAAGATTTAAATTTTGACTTATATTTTATAAATATTCTAGTTTTTTGTTTGTCTTAATTTTATGAATTTTTGGACATGGCATACATTGTGGAAAACTGTATGTAATTAAATGTACTGATTCTTTTGGTTGCCTCTTATAACACCATTCTTAGAGAAAGTGGAATGCTTTTTAAAAAAATTTTATCCCAGGGTAGCCTATATCTGGTATGTTTTCTGAATCTTTGAATTACTAAGAATAAGGTTTTGCAGTCTCATGAAAGTATAATAGCTGGGCAGAACTTTCTTTGTTTAAGACCAAGTCTTGCTGTGCAGCTCAGGCTGGCCTTGAACTTACTGTGTACCCAGGCTGGCCTTGCACTCCCGGAGATCCTCCTGCCTCATCCTGCTGAGTGCTGGAATTACAGGCATGTGCCACCATGCCTGGCTGTCGGGCCACATTTAGCACAGCCCTTCCTCCTTGAGATCCCAGCACTCTGGGGACTGAGACAGGAGTATCACGGGTTCCAGCTCAGCCTGGGCAACTTAGTGACTCATCGAGATGCTGTCCCAGAATAAAAAATAAAAGGACTGGCAGTGTAACTCAGCCCAAAGGCCCTGGGTTCAACCCCAAATACAGCAGTCCTTTGCTGTTTTGTGGTTCGACTTTCATGGACTCAGTTTTGTGGGTTTTCAAAAAATATGAATCTAAATTATTTATTGTGGAATTTTCACTGTATGGTGAGATTTTGCAGTATTTTACAGTATATATATGTTTTAAAATTACATAGGTTTACAAGTTTAGAACATGGTTAAGATTAGAAGTGTTTTTAAAAGTGTGGAAAAGGTGTATAAGAGGTGTGGGAAGGGCTTATATAGCCTTAAAATGTATATAAATACTAAAATAATTGTTACATCGCTACTTCACTGGTTTTCACTTAGCGTGGGGGGTGTCTAGAAAATAACCTCCTCACTAAAGGAGGGACCACTGTGTGGGAAAAAAGCAAACCCTGTGGAGGGCTGTTCCCTTGCTTTTGGAAATTTAGCGTTGAGGCACAAGTCAGATGCCACATGGATTTTCCCTCCTAGCATGTGCCCTGCTGGTTAGGATGTCATACTTTGGCCTGGCGCTTGGTGTAGCTTTGGATTGACAACACAATTTCTCCCCAAAACAAAAATTCTCTTTCCTTGTTTCTTGGTTCCAGCTCCCTGTCTGCCTTTTTCTGGGCTTCCCGTTCAGCCTCCAGAACACACCATGCGTGCCTCTGGTCTCCGGCTCCACTTTCATGTTGGCCTCTTTGTCCTGAGCACCAGGTTTCCTGCAGGCTGGCTGGTTTGGTCCCCCAGTTTCAGGGCTGCCCAGCTTGCTGATCCATACTCATGTGGACTTTTTCCCTTCTGGTGCCTCTTGCTGCCTGCTAAAAGTAGATTTCCTTGACGGACTTTGGATCGCTCACAGGCAGTCTTCTCTCAGCGAGTATGGAGAACTTGAATTAGTCGTCGTCCAAAGCATCACCCTCTTTCCATCAGCAAGCTTTTCCCTAGAGTACCCTTTTCTTTCCTGCCCTTGCACATCTATCAGGTACCCACGTGGGTTTTTACATGAGAGTTCAATCCCCTTATAATCTGCACTTAGAACTGGCCCTGTATAACAAAAGTAGATATACTATTTGTATCAATTATTTAAAAGTTTAACTTTTAAAATATTAAGTAGCAAAACAAAACAGCACTATGAGGAGGTAAGAGATTGCAGAAGAAAGGCAAAAACTCTCTCATCTTAGTATCTGCAGGGGAACCTCCCCCTGCACAGTGCACAAAGACGCCAGCGCTTTTCAGCTGCACCGGGCCCTCTGGTCATGTAGCTGGCCCAGGCACAAGCTCTGGTGCACCCCCTTCTGACAACGGGCAGCATCAGGTAGTTGGGTCTGCAGATGATCCCTTGACTGACACTGCCCCTGCTTGGGTGTGGCACTCGGAATGCCTGCCCTATCACCTCCTGCTCCCATCGCCCGCCACACCATTCCCCTGGTTTGAGGGCAGGGCAGTGGCCCTGATCACATGGAAGGTAGTGCTCGGGTGATCATCTGGGAGTACGCCGAGCTGCCCCCATAAGCCCACCCCACAGCCCCTCCTTGGTGTCCAGGCCATCAGTTCCAGGATGCCCCTGGGATACTGAAATCCATGGATGCTCAAGTTCCTTCCATCAGACGATGCGGTGTGCTACTTCATATGGCCTGTGTGCTCCTGTTCTACACCTACAGCATCACTAGATGACATATAGTACCTAACTCACGCCACTGCTGGGTACGTATTCATTAGACTGTCTTGTTTAGAGACTAATAACACAGAAAAATGCCTGCATGCTCAGCATAGATGCAACCCTCACAGGCTGATCTCCTTTTCCCTCTGCAGTGGGTTGGATCCTGAGGGTGATTGCTCCTGCTACCTTCTCTGAGGCAGCGGGGGCCATCGGGGGCCAAATAGTCTGCCTTTCCCAGCCCTTTCCTGCCTGCCCAGGTAGAAACCAAGCCAGTGGGTCTGAAGTGCTCCTCCTGATGCTGGACTCTTCATGAGTGCTCCACCTTTTGCTTGGGCCCTGTTGATTGATTGATTGATTGATTGGTGATTGATTGCAGTCCTGGAGAGTCAACTCAGGACCTTCACACTGAGCTAAAGCTCCAGTCCCTTTTGTGGGGCGGAGATGGTGTGGGCTATTTTTAAAGAATACAAAATAGTGATAGGAAAAAAAGCACTAGAAATGATACAAGATTTCACTAAACAAAGTAATAGGAATTCAGCAATGGTTTCTGTATTACATGATGCTATATTCAAATTAGTTGTTCAGGTTACCAGATATAAATGTGTAAGATTCATTTAAAGAAAAAACCAAAACAAAACAATAACAAAGAAGCTATAAGAAATTCAAAAGAGGAGAAAAAAATCAAAGTAAAAAAAAATTTAAGCATTAACTGGTCCTTTCAAAAGACCCGCAGAAATCGATAATAGAGTTATCCAAACTATGCTGCATATACATCTAACTATATTTTTTCCTTCTTTCATTTTCCAGTCCCTTTTTACTGTGAGCCAGGGTCTTGCTGAGTTGCCCAGGCTGGGCTGCAACTTGTGATGTTCCTGCCTCAGCCTCCCAGAGAGCAGGCATTACTGGCCTCGCCACTTTCCTCTGGATGGATACCTGCCCCACTTGCCCTCCTCAGGGTTCCTGCAGCTTTGGGGCCAAGGCTGGGGAGGTAAGGAGAAGAAACCCTCAGCCTTCCTTGGCCTGGGACTGAAGTGGCTATGGATTTGCCGTTCATGGCAGATTTTTGCTGAGGAGGGACATTGGCACCTGTGTGGAGCTGGTGCCACACTGAGAGAGAGCAAGGGGAAACGAAAACAAAGGGCAGCATATCCGGGATGATTACTGCCCAAATTACTTACCAAAGACATCTGCGAAGCTGTGAGCCATTCGGGAGGGATGTGAAAATGAGCCCCAGCTGAGTCTCCCAGCAAAATGAGTCCCCTGGGCTGTGAACCTGGCAGTGCAATTTATTCCCATTATTTATGCACTTAAGTAGCTGGAGCTCTGCCCCGGGGGTGGGGGTGGGCTGGTGACAGCAGGGAGCCCGTGATGCAGGGCCAGGTCTCCTGGGCTTGGGTGTGAGGGGCACAGCATTCAGGCGCTGAAAGGTCATGAGGCTATGGACTGCGCACTGAGCTGGACAGATGCAGGTGGGTCTCCCAGTCCAGCATAAGGCGAGCCACAGTGGCACATCCCGAGGGAGTGGTAGACAAATGAATGAATCCAAATGTTATCTGGACTCAAAATATGCTCTGAATTTTGGTTATGGAAATGGGTTTCTTGGAAAATGCATTAATTTTTGCTTCATTTCATTTTAGGAGCTAATGACTTCATGGAGCAGTTTTGGTTTTTCAAAGTGTTATGGTCTTCCAGACCCCTCCATTCACACACACACACACAAGCACCTGGTGGGTGATTCCTGGCTGATCAATGGAGAGACTGAGGCAGAAAGCTCACCAGGGCACCGTGCAGCCCGAGAGTCTGGAGGAGTAGACATTTAGTCTCATTCTGAGGCAGCTCCACAGATTGTTTCCCTGGAGCTGCACTCTTCCACCTCCTCCAACCCTGGGGAACAAACCGATGCTGCCTGGAGGCAGCCAGCCAGCTTCCTTCCTCCACTCCACCCCACGCCCTGTCAGAGGCCAACTGTTGGCCCAGTGGGGATGGCCTCAGAGAGGGAACTGAGAATGCTGGCATATCCAGGAGGGAACAGAGCCGTGAGAGGTGGGGACTCCAGGTGGCTGCCCACAGTGAGACCAAACTGTCCAGGGCTTCACCTAGATCTGCATTATTTATCATGTTATCCTTTTTAAATTCAGTGTTGGGGACCAGACCCAGGGCTTCCAATATGCTAGGCAAGCACTGCAGGACTGAGCAACAACCTGGGCCCTGTGGGATTTGTTTAGTAGCTTGCTTGTCCCTTCTTTTATCCATCCAGCTAATATTTCTCAGCTGCATGCACACAGAATGGGCCTTTCCATTTTCTGTCCTCCTTTCTGCCCTCTGAGAGTTTATAGACAAACAGACTTTGAGCTGATCAAAGGAAGGACTGTACAGTTTTTCGCCTTCCCTTCAAAGCCAAGTAGAGGCCTTGGTGCACGACTGGAATAGCTGTCCTGGAGGTAGCATTGTGTGAAGAGTGAGGGAGGGTGGGGGAAGCGTTTCTGTGAGGGGGCGCCTACCAGAGCAGCAGTGTGCCCTGGGTCCTTTGTAAGGCTCCTTGGGGTAGTTTACAAGGACATGGGGTGACCCAGTCCTAGCCCAGGTCCGGTGAGTGTGCAGAGAGTTTCCTGCTACCCTGCACCGGCCGGACCAGTCCCAGCCCAGGCGCAGCGTGGGCCGGACCCTCTCCCAGCCCCTCTGGCCGCCCCCCACCACTCCTCAGTGCCTCCCCC